GGTCTACGACCTTCCCCTGAACCAGTTTCTTCAAAACGATCAATAATTTTGCCAATTGCACACTCCATGTCGACCAAAACTTTCTTGAAAAAACTCTCTCTCTCCAAAACTTGAATGCGCTAGTGTTTGCACCCCGGTAAACCGTTGCGAAGGCTTAGGCCTGGTAATACTCTTGGTTTTGCTGCGATGCAATTTTGCAGGAGCACCTCTTACACCGCCACAACGCAAAAAATGTATATACATCATTGTAATTTTCCTAAAAAGCAAGGCATTTAGTAAATTGCTGGCTTTTAACAAAGAGGCAAAGTTATACAGCCGAATAAACCATTTTGCTGCGAAATCCATAAGAAAAATAAGTACCTGCCTTTTTGTGAATCCAGCATATTCCTCAGAGCTAACAATGCATCAGCATTTTTATTCTTAATCGCGGACAGATGTAGGTACAGAAACACATTTCAGAGGTAAAATTGTTATACCTCGTTTAGGCCCGCCATATACATACGGAATTCCGTTTCGAGATTCCGTTTCGGAATTTCGAACGGTCGACCACACACAAACGGAATCCCGTTTTGCCCGCAAAATATCGAACGGAAAACTACCGTACGTGTGTGGCGGGTCATAGATTTTATATGGACTTGCTGCGTTCGGGATTCCGAATCGGAATATCGAAACGGAATCTCGAAACGGAATTCCGTATGTATGTGGCCGGCCTTAGACTCTCGCCTCGCGGCTCGCAGCTCGCGTGTTGTTGTGAGGTAACGAGTGCCTGTTTACACTCTCGCGATGCGGTCAGTTTGCGTTGAGCCAGCAACGATGAATGACGTCGAAATAATAGCGGCATCAACTCTTGCTTTAATAAGTATTTATCGATGTTTGACCATTTTAAAAAGATGGAAATTAATAAAAATACGTCGTTGAGGAAGAATATGACGGATGATATCTATTCATCGAAACTGAACCTTTTCAGTTTCATAATTTTATATAAATTGCGAGTACCTATTAAGATTAAATAATATTTTTATATTTTTTAATATTTTTATTATTTTATATATAGCAAGATTAAATAATATTATTTTATTAAAATTGTATTTTAAACCAAAAGCAATTCGAATGTTATTATGGAAGGGCGCCGTAAACAAACTGAAACGAGACGCGAGTGTAAACACCACGCTCGCGTCCCTCGCGAGGCCCTTTGCCTCGTGCCCAAAAAACCGCCTCCGACGCGAGCGACGCGAGCGCCGCGAGTGGCGAGGCGAGCTGCGAGGCGAGCCACGAGCTAGCGTTTACACTCGCGCCTCGTGGCTCGCCTCGCGACTCGCCTCATCGCTCGCGCGAGAGTGTAAATGGGGTATGAAAGAGTAAACTTAATAATATGTTCAAAAGTAAACTTAGGAAATACTTACATACTGTGTAATCTCTTTATTCTGTGGTACTATATGGTACATGTCGCTTCGAACACTCTAGGCAGGGCCTGATTTACCCACAGGCTAACAAGGCTGGAGCCTAGGGCGCCAGGTGCGAGGGGGCGCTGAGGTTGCCTTTGCAAGCCCCACTTAGAATGTAAAATAAATATTGGTATAATATTCTCAATAAATGATAGAGTAAGTGCCGCAAATATTTTACTTGTTGCTCTTTCTTGATTTTTGTTACAAAACAAATAAATAGATTGTAAAATAAACTTTTACAACTAAAAAAACTTTTACAATCTATTTATTTGGTACCTTTCGTCTTTCATTAGTTAGCTGGACGTAATTCAAAGATTTTAAATTGCTCAATCTCTCTTCTCTACTTCTAATTTTATTAAGGTGTTTGCCAATAATGTCGAAAGGAACTTCTGTCGGCCATGTGTTCCATCTCGGCACGGGGATAACGAGGCACTGGCCTATGCCACAAACGAGAAAGTCGATCTTTTAGGTTCTCTTTGTGAGTCGAACTCGACTCTTGATGACGGTGGGTGCACACCGCCAACCATGCCGCGGTGTGATTGCTTCGTGCAGGATGTGCGGTAAGTCGAGTGGGCCGGCACCGGTTCTAACGCGTCTTTTCCGGTACTCCTACTCCCTAGGCGTAACCCTGAGCTTATGGAAGAGCTTTAGTGCACCTGATCCCTAAATAGTCGACCGCTTAGACCCGTCTCACTACAGGCTTATCACCATCGCCTTCTAGTTCTCCAAAATAGTGGAATCCATTATAAGCTGCCAACTTATAAGGTACCTTGAGGGCCACTAACTAACTAATGACCGCTAATGCAGTCACTAATCAGTTGCTTCTAGTTCTAATCTTCTAAATTACCTAAGTCATAGATGAGCGGAAGCAGTAGAGTCCAAGAGGGAGGCCTTGGTTATTGATTTGGATATAGCGAAGGCCTTCGATGGGCTTTGGCACAAAGCGCTTCTTTAAAAACTTCCTTCATATGGGTTTTCCGAGAAATTGGGCAGTGCTCTTGCAGATCAGAGTATCGAGATCGTAGTAGATGGTGCATACTCCGACTACGAGCCTATTAACCGATTCGCTGCAGCACCGATTTTCGACAACTTTTAACTGTGGCGGCGAACAAATATTTTTTTAATAAACAAATAATTTATTTGCCACAGAGGTTGATGACACGCCTATTGTGCCATCAGCCATGTGTAAAAATAATTATCTTTCTTTATGCTTTTTTCACTTGTTTAGACCTAATTATGTTTAGTTGACATCAAACATCAGTTACAAACGGAAGGATACTTGTTTTTAGTGGGTAACTACGTGTTTTTCTAAGTGTTTTCTTTGAAATTGAGAGTAAGTGACTTTTTTTACGCAGAGATTACAAAAATTTTGTACTAATTTTTTGTTTTATAAACAAATCATTTATGTAAGTAGGTACAGCTAAATCACCCTGGAAAACCTTGGTTTTTATTAAATTAAATTTTCACCTAATAATAATATTTGTAAATATCAAACAATCAAGAACCTTAATTTGGAAAAAAATAAGGTTTATGATTCATTACTATTTACAAATGTTAAATATTATTTCATGTTATACAAATGTAAAAGTAAAGTCGATTTGAAAACGTCTAATTAGTAATAATAGCAAAACAAGCGTTTTCAAAAGGAAAAAAACGCCGGCGCTATACGGCGGCGGATTGACAAAAGACTATTTATTAGCGAACTTTTTATGCATGAACGGTTTCGAACTGTTTCAAGCAAAAATAAACCTTATACCATATCACAAGAGCACACGGTACTTCGTAGGTCTATTCGGCCATATGATAGTAATAAGACGGCAGTTCAACGCATTGTTTTTTTTTTAACAGGGGACTTGTTTTACAGCAATTTATTTACAACTTGGGTATGTGAGCGATCGCAATGAGTGCTATTATTTGTTACTTATTAGACTATTTTTACACAACATGATTTAAAACCCACAAAGTAAAAAGAGTACCATGTACAAAATGTTAAAAAAAGGTTGTCAACCCCTAAAAATTTCAAATTTTCAAAATATCCAGTAACGAAGCTGTACGCATAAACTACTTGCAAAATAATGAATATTTTGTTCTGGATAAATTTTCCAAAAACGCAATTTGAGCGAGTTATAACGATTTAAAAAAAGACACGACTCGCGTGTCATACGCCACACACAAAAGTAATCGATGGCAAGCCTGGCGTGTCATCCGCACTGAACGTTAATGCTAGTGTTCCACAAGGCTGCGTGCTATCACCTACGCTGTTTCTTCTGTATATCAATTGACCGTGCTAATATTTATCGGGAACACGTCATCGAGTATCGGAACTAACTAGTGTCTGAAGTTAAATAAACAAAATCTCGGATTGGGGACGACTCTCGTCCAGTTTAAACTACAGAAACACAGGTTTCCGCGTTTACCTATCTCGGTGTGCTCAGCAGAGCGGGACTGTATTTCATGCCGGCACACCGTCTGCAACTTTACGAGGCGCAAGTTCGCCCTCACATGGAATACTGTTCTCACCTCTGGACTGGGGCACCCCCCTTCCACTTGACCGCATCTAGTGAAGTGTCTCGACTCGTCGACGATCGAGTTCTGTCTGATCCGCTCGATCCACTGGCACTGCGAAGAGATGTTGTATCCCATTGCATTTTCTATCACATTTTCCACGGGAAGTACTTACACAAATTGTTAGGATTAATTCCAGCCGCCAAATTCTTTCAATGCACATTGGGACAAAACTCACGGTACCATCCACACCATCTGGATGCTTGGCGGTCCATCATGACTGTGCGATTTACAAGGAGTTTTCTTCCTTGTAAGACTTCTTTGTAGAATTATACGGATTTATCCGGAACGATACGACTTAGATACCATCAAGAAACGAGCTTAGCAGTTGTTCATTAACGATGGTCGACACTTACTATCAGGAAAATTTGATTTAACGTGAGCGAAACCGCGGTGTGGAAAGCTAGTGAAATAGAAAAATCTAGTAAATATATTCATGGGCTGGGCGGGCACAGACAGAACGGGCCGGTGGGGGGCACATATTCATAGTTAGCCTAGGGCTGTCCTCTAAATCAAGCACTGACTCTAGAGGTAAATGTGATTCATAATACCTTAATATATTTACTTTGTATCTCATAATAAGTGAACTATTATATATTCTTATTTAATTATAAAAATTAATGTTTGTACCTATGTTCGTATTTTATGCACTGCAATGCCGTTCATCAGATTGCAGTAAAACTTTTAACACATTTCAGAGGTAAAATTGTTAAAGGAGTAAACTTAATAATATGTTTAAAAGTAAACTTAGGAAATACTTACATACAATGTAATCTCTTTATTCTGTGGTACCATATGCTAAATGTCACTTCCAACACTCTAGGCAGGGCCTGATTTACCCACAGGCTAACAAGGCTGGAGCCTAGGGCGCCAGGTGCGAGGGGGTGCTGAGGTTGCCTTTGCAAGCCCCACTTAGTATGACAAATAAATATTGGTATAAAACGAGGGCGGCACTGAAAATTTCGGGTATCATGGAAGTGACACAACATTACTATTTAAAAATGTATTTATTGCTTATCGAAGTATTCTCCGCGAAATTTGACAAATTTTTCCATACGATGGAACCAATCATTGAAGCAACAATTCCATTCGGAAGTTGAGGTCTCCAAAATGCCCGTTTTGTAGGCGTCCACAGCTTCTTCAGGTGATGAAAATCTCTGTCCACGCAATTTATTCTTTATTTTAGGGAAAGTATAGAAATCATTAGGGCTTAGGTCGGGGCTGTACTGTGGATGGTCTAATAATTCTATGTTTTCTTGCTCTAAAAACTCTTTTGTTGTGTGCGGTGTGAGAACTCACATTGTCGTGATGGAGGATGATGCGGCGGTTGCAGTTCTCTTTACGGAGTTCAGAAACGACCTGTGGCAAACAAATGCTAGCATACCATTCTGCATTAACCGTTCTTTGTCCCTCAAGAGGAATAGTCGTAACATGGCCGGTTTTGGAGACAAACGTGGCCACCATTCTTTTTCCAACACTCCGTGAACGAACAATTTTTGTTGGCTTTAACTCATTTTCGAACACCCAAACTCGTAACTGGTTTTTTGTTTCGGGTTCGTACGCGTATATCCAGGATTCGTCACCTGATACGATGTTGTATACAGCATTTGAGGATCCTGCGTGGAATCTTTCGAGAGTTCTGACGCACCAAGTAACGCGAGCCGCTTTTTGCTCTTCACAGAGCGAATGCGGTATCCATCGGGAAAACAACTTTTTTACACCTAATTGTTCATGCAAGATTATTTGTATTTGACTCATGCCAATGTCTAAAGTTGCCTGAATTTCGCGGTATGTCACATGTCGATCTTCCTCAATCAGCTTACGCACAGCATCAACGTTTTCTTGGGTGACTGCAGCTTTTGGACGACCTTGACGGGGATCATCACTGAGCTTGACAGGTCCACGTTGAAATTCAGCAAACTAGCGATAAATTGTGGTTTTGGATGGGGCTTCATCACCAAATGCAGAAATCATCCGGTCAACACACTGTTTTTGTGTTAAACCACTTCGAAAGTCATATATAAATCATCGCTCTTGAATTTATTCGAGTCAATTCCATTTTCTCAACGACTAAACAAGTTTGACAAAACCTTGTGACAAGACCGAGAATCTTTTTTTAAATAAATAATGGTAGGTATACGATTTTTAAAACCAAGGGGTTTCCAATTAAAAACATTTTAATATGACAGGAACAGTGGAAATATTCCATTCCCGATACTTTTAGTGCAGCCCTCGTATTCTCAATAAATAATAGAGTAAGTGCCGCAAGTATTTCACTTGTTGCTCTTTCTTGATTTTTGTTAGAAAACAAATAAATAGATTGTAAAAATAAGACTGAATTATTTACCTTTCGCCTTTCGTTGGGTAACTGATCGGAGCATCAAGGTCGTAATAGACGGTGCATGCTGTGATCTCAAGCCTATCAACGCTGGTGTTCCACAAGGCTGTGTGTTATCACCAACGCTGTTTCTCCTGCATATCAATGATGTGTTGCATACTGGTAACAATCATTGCTATGCGGACGACAGCACTGGTGATGCCTTATATATCGCCGTGCCAATATTTCTCGGGAAAACGTCGCCGAGTACCGGGACAAACTTGTGTCTGAAGTCGAGTCTTTACTGAACGTCTCGGATTGGGGCCGACTAAATCTAGTCCAGTTCAATCCCCAGAAGACACAAGTCTGCGCGTTTAGCGCTAAAAAGAACCCTTTGTCGTATCTCCTCAGTTTCAAGTCACTCCCCTTGCTGCCTCAGCTAGCATCGGAATTCTCGGCGTCGACATATCGAATAGTGTGCAGTTTCGTGGTCACTTGGAAGGGAAAGCCATATTGGGCTCTAAAAAGCTTGGCGCGCTCAGCAGAGCGAGACAGTATTTCATGCCGGCACATAGCTTACAACTTTACAAAGCGCAAGTTCGGCCTCACATGGAATACTGTACTCATTTCTGGGCCGGGGCACCCCAATGCCAGCTCCTTTCACTTGACCGCATCCAGCGCAGAGCGGTTCGAGCATGCACTTCCGCAAAAGTTATAGGCATAGTACAATTAACTTACACTAGGTGGCACGCATATTGTATCAACAAATTTATTGAAAAGTTATATTTTATCATTCCCATTACATAACCCTTTGAAATTGAAAATGACATTTCTGCAATTATTTCTTCTGCAAACTAAAAAGAAGTATATTAAAAAATATTAAATCTAAATAAGATTTAAAATAAGATTATATTAAATGCGCACATTTGTCTCCCATACTTTAAAAAAATGTACTTAAGAAGTAAACTGTTCATTGTTATATACCAAGAGTACTATATAAATCTCAAGGTAATAACAAATAATACTTAAAAGCCATTGTGATGTTCACGAGGGTAATTGTTTGTAATACAAATAGTAAGAGAAAAGTTCAATTCCCACAAACATCAGTGAAAGTGTTAAATGTAATTTTTGGAAGAAAAACATTTTGATCTATCAAAATGCATGAGAAATAAAAATTCTGTGCCAAGTATTGGGACATTTATAGGCTATGTAAGTATACATAATTTACATTTGTTTGCTAACAACCTAAGCTACAATATGAATAAACAAAATCACCATTAAAATTGTTTTAAAGGTAAGAAAACTGACTAAAACCAGTTTTCATTCAACAAAACTATATTCATTAACATTTTAAATTAAAACCTAAATTATAAATAAATACAATCTAGTATTAATTAGCTCGGGTTGCCTGATTTTTGAGCTAATGCTAACATATTCTCATTAGCTATCATCTGGAACTCATGGAACCTTTGGGAAACTCTTTGATTCATCCTTAAATATTTCTCCATGCAATTAAGTGTGCATCTTTCCTGAAAGAAGAAAATAGTTTACGTTTTCCTCAGAATATTATGTCAAAACTTCATAAATTTTAAAAAAAAACAGAAATTAACTGTGTATGTAACTAGTATCAGACAGACTCCTGAATATATACATTCAGAATTGTACTGTAATAAGATTATTAGAGGGGCATTTGTGAAAAGTAAATTTCTGATAATAATAATATATCTTTATTATCATTAAACCCTTTTTACTGGAAATGAGGCATTCCATCTTAGTCGTCAAGAGTGACAACGCATCTGCATTTTGATTCGTAATCGAGGATAGATATGGGCCACAGCATCCATTTACCATCAGGTGAACTGTGTGCTGGTTTGTCAACCTTATAATATAAAAAAAACTTTACCTCAGGTATGTCACTTACAGAGTACTTTATTACATGGAAGAGCCAAGCTCAATCTACATTTCGATTTTTAATTGAAGATAGATGTAAGTGTTTATGGACCATAACATCCATTCACTATTAGGTGGACCGTGCTTGTTTATCATTCTTATTCTAAAACAAAAACTTAGCTAGATTTCTTTAGGCATTTAGTACCTGCCTTATGCAAATTATTGTTGCTCCGTATAGCCAGGGCGTATATGCCATTATTCTTGCTTATTGTCATACATCTACTTTAATGGTTGTCTCTTCTGTGACAAATATGATAAGTTCATTGCCTAAGCATAGTTTAGTTGTTTAAAATTTTACTAGTGCAATTTATCCCTCTAAATGGATGTTCATAATAAGATGAAAGAAATTTATAATAAAGCTCACATTTTATCACTATTTTCAGATCATGGCACACTTCTTTAAAAGCTTGTAGAGCAAGAACCTGTGATTGCCAGACTTTCCTTATTTTATAAAAGCTAAAAGTTTCTCACCGCATGCTCCCAACATAGATAGGAACGATGGGCGACTATGAAGTTTGGATAATCGTGGCTTTGGCAGGTTACCAGGTTACCTTTAAGCTTTTATAAAATAAGGAAGGTCTGTCATTCACAGGCTCTTAGCCTATTGAGCTATTAACAGAAAGATCTCTGAACTGTTAGCCAAGGAAAATTCCAAATTGCCACCCAAAATTTATTTGTTGCATCTATCAGCATTTATATACCCTGAGGTAAACAGTTTACTATTGAACACCAATATGGGCGGGAAACTAATTTTAGTGCCAAGTTGTATCTCCCTCCTCCAGTCTCTATGATGAAAGTATCCGACAGTAAAAACCAACACTATATCAATAATATTCTATTCATATTAGATTGATAGTATGTTCAGCTGTACGCTTATATAGAATTGATTAAATGATGACTCCAAAAAAGTAAAATACACATAACTACATGAAAATAAAGATTTGTTTCTTACCTCTGAAGACCTAAGATTTCTTGATGTGAAGTCATGTATACAGTCATTGAAACATAATTCTGATAGTTTATTGTATTGCACGAGAAAATCTTTGAACTGAAATATAAAAGTTTATTTATTATTAACTTCTTTAACTGAAATACAATATAATTTTTTTTTATGTTGCATTATTTTACCGTTTTAATTTGATCTGCTTCACTCATTTCTGGTGGTGCAGCCATTTTTTATAAGCGCCTAGGAAGTAAATAAGTTGATATTTTATTTATTTATGAGAATGTTCAAGTCAACTTGAAATAAAATTTGAACAATATAACATAAAATGTAAGAAGTCACGTTTGAGGTTAGAAATCCCCGTCAATTCCCGTATATATACTCTTATCTATGGTTAGAAATAGGGATGGTCGATGATCATCGAACATCGACAAAATTTTATTTTTAAATTATTTTCAATAGCTGGCTCAACTCTTTATCAACAAAGAAACAGATTGAAAGGTACTTCTTTGTGAAAATTACTATTTCTTCCATCAATTTGCAAAAATATTGGACATTATAACAAGTGAATTGGATATTTGTGAAGTTCTTCCATTTTTTTAACTACTATTTTATATTACATTGTTTATTAATTTGGCTTAGCTTTCCATTGACGTCAGTGGAGTTTGGTGTTGATACGTATTTTTACAGAAAGATTACACTATTATAAGCACACACACAAAGTCTCAATATACGGAAACGCGTAATTTATGAGAAAAGAATAATTGAAAATCAATTATTCTTGCAATGTTTATGTCTAATCTGCTAATAAACTGGCGCCATTTTGTAATGTCATTGTCGACGTCAATAGGGATGTCGATTCTTTCCGAAAAAGGTCAATTTTTAAATCGATTCAAATCGTAAGCTGATGTATCGGTTCACAAAAAATCGATTTCTAAAATATCTATATTTTTTTAATGTTTCTATTTATAATGTAAATATAAACCCATTTTATGAAAAACAAGAAAGATACCATGATAAATGATCTCTTATTGAAAGAGCAATGGCAGACTTTCATACATAAAATTAGTTGAGACGAAATGGTAACGTCTATATACCAAAAATATCTTAAAATATTAAGCGTCAGTCCCTTAATAACTCTGTCATAGAATTTTGTACTGAGAAGGCGTCAAAAAAAAGATATTTACGTTTGAACCTTTTTAGGTTATGTCCTATGTCACTTGGAAAAAGTCATGCTTCCTGTGGTTTTTTGATGTTAGCTTAATACATAATACATAATTGAGAGTTTTTAGATTATTGTATCTCTATTATATATTTGCATACTATAAATGTATATTTCTGGCATGGCTTCAGGGCTTTTGTACCATAGTGACATTCTCAGAAGGGCTAGAACCCAGAGCCGTAAAGCCAGTAAAAAAAACAGTGACATTTTATTTTAGCTAGTGTTGGCATAACGTTAAATGGAATTGTTACATAGTAATATGATTGAGATAATGTATTATTGTAGGAAATTCTTTGTAAGAGACTTATTTTAAGCCATATCACTTTTATTTTTGTTATTACTGATAGTACAGTTATTACTAATAATAACTTAATATAAAAATATTATGTGTGTTGCGTTGGTAGTTTTACAAAGTGTATACGAAAATAGTATGAATATACTAAATGGCAACATTTGAATAGAGTAAAATGATAATAAGTCATTTGATATTCCCAAAAATGTTTTTTTTTTCTGTGGCTTTAATTAAAATACATTTTTATTTGAAAAATCATAGAAAAATAATAAAACGCATTTTATATATAACTTATTTCTAGACGCTATAATTTTTGTCAACTATTTTTCTGCCATTGCTCTTTGTTTTATCTAACAGTACCTATTAGGGCAGATAACAAATAAAATAGGTTAGGTTCAACTTATGTCAAAGAACCGAATTGAATGACCCCGAATCCACCTGGTACGAGTCTGTCCTACCCCTAGAGTGGTTTTATAGAGCCGGAGGTACGTAGGGGGAGCAGCCTCCGCCTGCTGTAACAAATCGTAGGCATCGGACGAGATTGACTGATTTATAAGGAGGAAATCCTTATGAATCAGTCCCCTTATTTTTTTATGATGAAGGGGATTTTTTTCTCATAAAATGGATTTATATATTTTAGAAATCGATTTTTTGGGAATCTATACATCAGCTTACAATTCGAATCTATTTAAAATATCAATCTTTTTCGGAAAGAATCGACATCCCTATTGACATCGACAATGACATTACAAAATGGCGCCAGTTTATTTTATTAGAAGATTAGACATAAACATTGCAAGAATATTTGATTTTCAATTATTCTTTTCTCAAAAATTACGCGTTTCCGTATATTGAGACTTTGTGTGTGTGCTTATAATAGTGTAATCTTTCTGTAAAAATACGTATCAACACCAAACTCCACTGACGTCAATGGAAAGTCGTACCATTAATTTCGTTTATTTCATTAAATATAAACCATAAACAACATCACAATTTTTTTATTCATCTAATTCTAACCTCTTTAATACATGTGCAAAAAAACATCGATAATGGCCAACATCGATGTTTTGAGTAGGATATACATCGATCATCGATGTTGAGATGTCGATGTCAACATCGATGTTTCTACAATATCGACCATCCCTATTTAGAAACAAAAATTATAAAATATAAATTATAATTCTTGGAGCATAGACAATTATAATTTCACTGTTTTTATTAAGGTTTTGGGTTTGGATGCTTGTTATTTAAGCCATGTGTTCATTTATCTACTACTTCACAATAATATGTTGATGAGTCACATTGCGAAGTTTTTGGGAGATTTCGGCAGTAACTTGAACCAGCAGACAGTTGGCGATAGTATCTCAAGGCGCCTTAGGATTATCATCACTTTTATGTATCAAAATTCACTTCAAACTATTATTTGAACAATAATACAGAAGCAGCTATCCGCCGCCGGTAAAGTTCTCGTTAAAACTTCAATAATTTGACAGAAACAGGCTGTACATAGATTACTAGTGAACTCAGTGGCGTAACAATAGGATGGCAAGCCGGGTAAAATGTCACGAGCACCCTGCCAGAAGAGGCGCCCAGCCCGAGACAGACAGAGCCGTGAGAACAAGAGGATTTTAATATTTATTATTGTAACATTTAGAAAAATGTATTAGTTTTATCTTTAATTAATTTAAGGTATAACGTGCATGCACAAGTTACACAAAACGACGGCTCCGTTACTTAGCATTGAATTGCGGCGCTAGGAGCCGCGGGCGCGAATCCCACACGGAAAAAGTATTTATTTATATGGCCTACAAATAATTGTTCTGGGTCTGAATGTTTGACCTAGTGTAATATGTTTTTAAACTGCCTTCTCTATACGGGGGAAAATCTTAATTTAGGGGTAAATTTTCAACAATTTTTATTAATAAAATTTAAAGAAGTTTCAATGTATATATTCGAAAAGATACCTTACACCCAGTCAGTTTTAGAACATATTCGGTAGATAATAAAATCCTTGCCACTTTAAAATACAACTGTAGCAATAAGAAATGAAGTTTTCTTATTAGTTCATATTTTCGACGCAAGACTTCTGTTGCAGCGCAGGCTCTCCCCGCTCTATGAATTGTAAGTATATTAAATACTACACGCATACATCATTTGACTTACAGATACATATACATCATTTGATTGTTGTAAGAATTGGTTGTTTATGGCAATTGAGGCACATTTAATTAGTTAATTTTGAAAATTGATTTACAATATCTAAGGATAACAATCATATAAATTCATAAAATAGCAATCGACATCGTCGGTAAACACAAAGGGGCATATTGAAGACCGAAGAGTACAATCTGTCACTTTGCCTTGTGTATGTGGACTACGAGAAAGCCTTTAAATCCATCAAAAGGGCAGAGCTACAGTCCCTTCAGCGATGCTAAGTTGACTGTCGGTATATCGAAGTGCTGAAGTGTTTGTACAGTAGGGCTACGACGGCTATCCCAATGCAGAATCAGAGTACGAAACTTTTACAACTGCAAAGAAGTGTAAGACAGGTGATCCTATATCCCCGAAAGTCTTCACCGATGCATTGGAAGACGTTTTTATGTTATTGGACTTGAAAGGATACGGTATTAACATCAATGACGCATACATCACTCACCTTCTGTTAGACGACGAAATAGTCTTTATAGCAGAAACCCTGGAGCTGAGACCCTCTATGCTTAATGACCTCAGTAGTATCGCCAAGCGGATAGGTCTTAAGATTAATATGGACAAAACAAAGTTCACGTGTAACGTCCATGTATTTGTTGAGAGTACTACGCTCGAAGTTGTCGACGATATGTTCACCTAGAACATGATACAGTCCGAGTAGGTAAGTTCAATTTCGATCGAAAGGTCAATCAACGGATTCAACTCGGTTAGGCAGATTACGACACATCTTGTCAGATAAGCCTCAAAACTTTCCAGTTATGCCTTATGGATCTGAAATCTGGTCATTTACTGCTGGCCATTTGAGGAATCTCAAGGCCACTCAGTGAGCTATGGAGTGGGTTATGCTCAAGGTTTCTCTGCGTGATAAACTAAAGAAATGAGGAAATCCGCAGTATAAGTAAATAAGTAATCATCATAGCCCAACGGATAAGTGATTAGGTAGACGAAGTGTAGGGTGGCCCCCCACTATATGGAGTGACGATCTGGTAAGACATGCAGGAACTCGATGGATGCAGGTGGCTCTGGACCATGCTTTGTGTCATTCCTTAGGGGAGGCCTATGTTCAGCAGTGGACTTGCGAAGGGCTGTAATGATGATAATGATGATCAGTAGTAAAGATTAAAATCAGCTACATGACGTAATTAATATTAGATGGTTAATATTGTATAGTGAATTATTAGTGCCAGAAACAATTTAAGGTAAATAAAGTATTCCACCCGCCAATTTAATGATTAAATACATGAACTCAGTCCAGTAAGCTCTTTAAATTAAAAGCTATGTACCAGAAGATCACTAATTATAATAGTGTTTTCAGTACCGTAAGTAGATACCTACCTGTAAGTCAGTACTATACGTAGGGATTTATTACAAAATGAAATTAAAAACCTTAAAATTGGTTGAGCTTCTTTTCTAATAGGTCTTTGGAAAATCCAGATACTTATTAGAACCTTTCACATGGCGAGTCTTAGTAAGCTTCCAGTCTTGGAAAAATACTACACATGGATTAGACGATTTTCCATATATACTAATTAAGAAATTGAGTTCTAGGGCTCAAAAATTGTTTTTGACGATTCATTAAGATTCTTAATAATTCGTTAAAAACGCCGCTTAACTGTGT